CATTAATGTTTACAAGGTTTAAATAGGATCTAAACTATAACTAATACCTTAAAAATGAGGGAAAATATATAACTAGTAAATACTAATCAAATCCTAACCTAAAATATACTACTAACAACTCCCACCCATAAAGAAAAAAAATATATATATAAATTGATTAGGGATATGTTATTAAAATATATCCTCCAAAACATATTTTAATAGTAAGAGAATATTGGATAACCTTCTACCACACTAAGAAAAAAAAATGGAAGATAAAGAAATATTTGAGTGACTAAAAAAAAAAAATCCACCACAAGCAACCAGTTTTTCTATTGTAATTGTTAGGGTTGCACATGAGAAATACTAGCTAAAAATTTATTGATGACTTCAGTTATGTACCGTAAGAGATAATACAGAAAGTACATTTTAAAAGCACTGTGGAAGGGATATATATATATGGTTCAATTTATTATATATGATTTTATCAAACATAACCATGTATTATATATATAACTATCTACCATATATATCCTTACAAACTTTTTATTATAAATAATCGTTTACTATATATTTTCTATATATAACTTTAATATGTATAACAATTGGATAAGTTATAAATAGGCCGCAGGTTCTATAACCTAATAATTCTCCCACATGGAGGTTGATCCAGTCAACAAAGAATTTCATTCTGAAACGACCATCAATATCTTCACTGCACTATACCAATTGAGACTTCGCACAACCTCATTTTTTAAACATCAACACATTTTGTCAACGTGTTTGCTTGATTCTTTGCACCCTTTATCTTCTCCAAACACATCACCATCTTCCACTAATCTGCAAGTGAAATGGTATCATCTTCTGATGTGTTTTGTCTTTGATAGACTAGGTTTTTCACCAACTGTATGACACTCTGACTATCTACATGAAGAATCTTCTCGTGCTGCTTCTTGCCTAATTCTTTACATAGTCTGTCAATATCATTTTCTTTCTAGTTTTAGCTATTGCCACGTACAAAGCCTCAGTAGATGAAGGAGCAACACAATTCTGAAGCCTAGACATCCAACTCATCCATGGCTTGTTCCCACTTGGTTGTATCCTCCAACTGTAGGGCATCACTAAAGGGCTCTGGTTTCTCTTCATCAATCAACAACATATAGTGTAATGAAGGTACATACCTATCTAATACTTTGATAGTTCTGGATGATCCTCTCAACACCTGCTTAGGTGTCACTTGCTGCACCTCTAGAACCTCATCAATAGTCTTAGAAGTTTCTCGAGTATCTACTACAACATCACTATGTGAATTGTTCTGTAGCTCAACTTCAACTCCCACTTGCTTTGTTGTCCCAGAACCTTTCTTGTCTTTGTCCTTGTACATGACATTGTCAAAAGTCACATTATAGTGTCTCAATTTTTTTTTTTTTTTTTGTTCTTGACGTCCAAAAACTTATACCCAAACATATTGGAATTATAGCCTATGAAGTAGCACTTCATAGCCTTAGCATCAAGCTTGTAACTCTCTTTAGCATCAAGCTTGTAACTCTCTTTTCCTATCCATACCTCTTTTGGCAACTTGAACCACAAGGGTACTAACGACCCTCTATTTATCAAGTAGGCTATTGTATTTACAACATCAACTTAGAATGTCTTTGACAATCTAGAACGAATCCTCATACTCCTTGCCTGCTCATTCAATGTTCTGTTCATCCTTTCACCAACACCATATTGTCTTGTTGTACCTGGGAACTATCCTCACTAATCTAATTCCCTCAGCTACACAAAATACTTTGGATTTTGACTTTTCCTATTCTTTTTTATTGTCATTCTTCAAGCATTTGATCCCTCAGCTACACAAAATGCTTTGGATTTTGACTTTCCGTATTCTTCTTCATTGTCATTCTTCAAGCATTTGATCCCTCAGCTACGCAAAATGCTTTGGATTTTGACTTTTTGTATTTTTTTTCTTCATTGTCATTCTTCAGGCATTTGATCCCTCAACTACACAAAATGCTTTAGATTTTGACTTTTCGTATTCTTCTTCATTGTCATTCGATCTTCAAGCCAGTCTAATTTTCAACTTCAGCTTTCCACTCCTTAAAGGTGGCAAACACATCTGACTTTTGTTTCGGGAAATAAATATAAATACACATCTTCTTTCCACTTCTTAGTGGCAAACACATCTAAACACATCTAAATACCCCTTAACCACTCGGACATATTGACACCCCTTATATAAGGAATGATTCGTTCCCCCTTAACCAATCGAACATATTGACACCCCTTACCCAAATATAAATATACATCTTCTTTCCACTTCTTAAAGGTGGCAAACACACCCCTTGTATAAGGGGTGATTTGTTCACACCCCTTATATACAGAATGATTTATTCCCTCTTAACCACTCGGACATATTGACAGGACCTGTGCAAGCATATCCCAACAGATTTCAAGCTGGTCTCCTTAACCACTTGGACATATTAACACCCCTTATATAAGGAATGATTCGTTCCCCCTTAACCATTTGCGGACATATTAACACCCCTTACCCTTAACCACTCGAACATATTGACAGGATTCGAACCTTCTCCTTAACCACTCGGGCATATTAACACCCCTTATATAAGGTATGATTCGTTCCCCCTTAACCATTCGCAGACATATTAACACCCCTTACCCTTAACCACTTGAACATATTGATAGGATTCGAACCTACGCATCGTTCCCACTTAACCACTCGGACATATTAACACCCCTTATATAAGGAATGATTCATTCCCCCTTAACCATTCGCGGACATATTAACACCCCTTACCCTTAACCACTCGAACATATTGACAGGATTCGAACCTACGCATAGTTCCCCCTTAACCACTCGGACATATTAACATCCCTTACCCTTAATCACTCGAACATATTAACCCTTAATCACTCGAACATACCCTTAATCTACATCAAACTTCAGTTTCTCAAATTTCTTCATTAAACTTCAGTTTCTCAGATTCCCGGTACTATTGATTGTGGTAACAACAGTACCTCAAACTAAAAATTGCATAGCCAAATTTCGAGTTTGTCTCCTTAACCATTCAGACATATTGCCACCCTTATATAAACAATGATTCGTTCCTTGTTCAACCAATGTGTGTTTTCACAATAAAGCTAAAAATACGCCAATAGCAGGATTCGAACCAACGTAGGGATAATCCAAAAGATTTTGAGTCTGTCTCCTTAACCACTCGAACATATTGAAACCCCAAATTTTAATTTTAAAGATTCTCGAGTATGATAGTGGCAACAACAATATGTAGGATATGGGATTTCATAATAAAGCTAAAGATGCGTCAATAGCAGGATTTGAACCTACGCAAGCATAGCCTGCCCAACAGATTCCGAGTTTGTCTCCTTAACCACTCAAACATATTGACACCCCAAACTTTAGTTTCTTCGATTCTCAGGTACTACTCATTGTGGCAACAGTGAAATAAAGCTAAAAAATTGCAGCCAAATTTTGAGTTTGTCTCCTTAACAATTCCGACATATTGACACCCTTATATAAAGAATGATTCGTTCCTTGTTCAACCAATGTGTGTTTTCACAATAAAGCTAAAAATATATTAATAGCAAGATTCAAACCTACGCAGGTATAGCCCAACAAATTTTGAGTCTGTCTCCTTAACCACCCGGACATATTAACACCCGAAACTTTAGTTTCTCAGATTATCGAATACCACTGATTGTGGCAACAACAGTATCCCACTTCCACTTATATAAGTATTATGTAGGAGGTGGGATTTCATAAAAAAGCTAAAAATTGCCAGCAAATTCGTTCCTTGTTCAACCGATGTGTGTTTTCACAATAAAGCTAAAAATACGTCAATAGCAGGATTCAAACCTACGCAGGCATAGCCCAACAAATTTCGAGTCAATAGCAGGATTCAAACCTACGTAGGCATAGCCCAACAAATCTCGAGTCTGTCTTCTTAACCACTCGGACATATTAACACCACAAACTTTAGTTTCTCAGATTCTCAAGTACCACTGATTGGGACATATTAACACCACAAACTTTAGTTTTTCAGATTCTCAAGTATCAATGATTGTGGCATTCATAATAAAGCATATTAACACCACAAACTTTAGTTTCTCAAATTCTCAAGTACCACTGATTGTGGCATTCATAATAAAGCATATTAACACCACAAACTTTAGTTTCTCAGATTCTTTAGTTTCTCAGATTCTTTAGTTTCTCAGATTCTCAAGTACCACAATAAAAAATTGCTGCCAAATTTCGAGTTTTTCTCCTAAACCACTCGGACATATTGACACCCTTATATAAAGGATGATTCGTTCCATGTTCAACCAATGTGTGTTTTCACAATAAAGCTAAAAATGCGTCAATAGCAGGATTCAAACTTACGCAGGCATAGCCCAACAGATTTCAAGTCTGTCTCATTAACCACTCGGACATATTGACACCCCAAACTTCGGTTTCTTCGATTCTCAAGTACTAGTGATTGTGGCAACAACAGTATCCCAATTCCACTTATATAAGTATTACGTAGGATGTGGGATTTTATAATAAAGCTAAAAATTGCTAGCAAAATTTCGAGTTTGTCTCCTTAACCATTCGAACATATTGACACCCTTATATAAAGAATGATTCGTTCCTTGTTCAAAAGATGTGTGTTTTCACAATAAAGCTAAAAATACATCAATAGCAGAATTCGAACCTACGAAGGCATAGCCCAACAAATTTCAAGTCTTTCTCCTTAACCACTCGGACATATTGACACCCCAAACTTTGGTTTCTAAGATTCTCTGGTACTACTGATTGTGTCAACAATAGTATCCCACATCCACTTATATAAGTATTATGTAGGATGTGGGATTTCATAATAAAACTAAAAATTGCATAGCCATTTCGAGTTTGTCTCCTTAACCATTTGAACATATTGACACCCTTATATAAATAGTTCCTTGTTCAACCGATGTGTGTTTTCACAATAAAGCTAAAAATATGTCAATAGTAGGATTTGAACCTACGCAGGTATAGCCCAACAAATTTCGAGTCTGTCTCCTTAACCACTCGGACATATTGAAACCCCAAAGTTTAGTTTCTCAAATTCTCTAGTACTATTGATTGTGGCAACAACAGTATCCCACTTCCACTTACCCTACAAGAAATAATAGATAACATAGCTTTCGAAAACTGCTATCGTAGACTTTTTATAGCGTTTTTCGTACGTCGTGACAGCCCATGTTATTAAAAGTTTGAGACTTTTTATAGCGTTTTTTTATAACTATAATAGATGCTATAATAGAGTGACTTTTTATAGCGTTTTTTTTATAGCTATAATAGATGATATAATAAAATATGAAATTATAGCTTATATACGTTGCTATAGCGTTTTATTGAAGCTATAATATATTTAATATAGCTAAAATATCATGCTATCATTAAGTTATAATGTATAATATAGTATTTACTAAAATTATTTATTCATTTATAATTATTATAGTTTCTTTTAATAAAATTTAATTTACATTCTCATTTTTTAACTAAATAAACACGTGAATACTCGTAACAAATTAAATACCATGACTTCCATTCATAATTGATATTTCATAATCTATTTCCATCACAAGAGTAGTATTCATTCCTTTCCTAAAATAAAGTTATTCAAACGATACAAGATAAAATATTCTCCACTACTTTGCAATGATTTTCAACATCTGGGGACCGCTATCATGGCCTCATCTTTAGACACACCTAAATTGAATGTACATTATTAGTTGAATAACTAAGTAAAAATCAATAATACAAAGATAATTAGATAACGATATAAATCTAAGATATATTCACATGACCATTACATTGGCATTTGGTAAACTCAAAAGAGCATATGGAGTCATCAAAATGCATCATGATCAACCGTTAAAAAGTAATTAAACGTACTACCATATTCTCAAGTACTAAAACAACTAAAATTAATCAATTTACAGATATTGGAAATTCAAAAAGTTGTGTGATAAACTCACGAACTAATTTTACAAGTCACATCCACACAAAAATGTGCCAAGTTGTTAATACCATGATTTAAGAAGAGATTTCACAAGGAGAATATTTGTAAATAGAGTTTAACATGGCAAACATGGCATAGAAACTTACAACTGCAACAAATGGCCACATTTTATTGATAGCTTGTTAACCATTTCACCTACCATGCTAAACAAAAACATAATCGAAGTATAAAATTTTGTATCGATAAGTCACTAGGAGTTAAATATGGGAGCACATAAGAAACCAAGTTTTAAGTATATTGCTCAAAGATAAATAAACAACAACTCGTATCTACACAAAGATGATTCTGCACAATTATTTAAAGTACCCCAAAGTATACCACGTATTAAGAAAGAAAGCATGTACCTTTTCATTCCCAATTCTTCGCTTCCTTCTGTATGCAACTAGTTGAAACCTTGACCAGACTTTCTTTTTCTTTCTCGACCCTTTCAGCAGATAGGATGGTACTGCGTAATTCCACTTTGGGAGGCAGCTTTTTCAGAATGAAGAGGACCAGAGAAGAAGGTAAAATCTCAACCAACTGCAGACATGGAAACACAAATAAGAACTCATACCTTTGAAAGAAAATGACATTCCACATTTTTCCGAGCAAAAAGAAGTAGAAAATCCCAAGGAACAACATATTCCGTTCAAAGAATAACCCACATCATCCATCGAGGGGAAGATTATAATTTTAAGGGCCAGGCTTCACCTTTGATGAAAAGGTACACCAACAAAAATTTAGCTCAACAGAATTAATATTCTAAGTCCAAGCAGCATAAACTGACACTGAGACTTGAACTAAATTCATCATCATAGAACAGTAATACTCAAATTGAATGAATTCATCGTCATAGAACACTAATACTCAGTTGCAGGAAACTCATCATATTGCTTAGAATACCCCAATTGACTAAAAAGATTCCACTAAAACAAACCACCACAAGCGAAATATCATAGGTAAAACTGAATCTACAAGGTAGTATATAAAATTTAGAACAAGATGATCCAAAACATCGAGGTCTATAGCTTGATCAAAAGCATTAAAGCATATCTATTGCCCAAGAAAATTAAACCAAGTTTAAAATGAATTGAGTATCAACCTAAAGCAATTGAAAGGCAAAACAACATATTCATTTCTGGGTATAATATATGCATAAAACAACTATTAAATAATGCACAACTAATAGCTACAACGATAAGCCTATATGTAAATTTATAACGTTATTCTCAATTCTTGAGGACGGCGTCACACTTTCATTGGTGATTGGTTAAGGACTCAAAAAAATGAATTTGAAGTACATTATAATACTCAGGCCCCAGCCAGTCACTGATCTAATACTCAGGCCCGGCCAGACTTTGATCATCTTCTTGTTGTTGATATGACTAAAGGTACCTTAGATGTTTTTCAATACGTTGCACCAGTATGCTAGATGAGATTAGAGAATTTGATCATGTTGTTTGAGGAACGAAAAGAAGAGAGAGCCATTTTAAGTGTAAAGTCACCGATCTTTGAGGGTAGAGAGTTAAGCCATCTCTACCTCTTTTTTCGTGATTGCATTAAAATAATTGTCATCATATATGTAGCAAAGTGGAAATTAGGTGGTCTTGCTTTTATCCCGAGCATGAAAAAAGAAGTGATGAAAAACAGAACAACGAGACACTCTAACAAATTTCAATTTGAAATAAATATAATTCTTTACCAGTTTTCACAGTTTGCCATAATTTCAATGCCAATAATAATAGAATTAAAACCCAAAACAACAGAAGAGAAATAATCGGGAGAACCATTTACCATAATTTTAACATAATCAATAATAGAATCAAAACCTCAAATAAAAATAATCAAAGAGAAACCACACACTCTAGGTACAGAGTCAACCCCTCCAGATGGTTGAGTTGGAATGTAAACTAAAAATTAAATTAAAAAGGGAGAAATGTTGGAGTAAGAGATGAATAAAAACTAGAGTTACGCAAAAGAAAGGAGTTCAGCGAAGACAGAACATTTGAACAAGAAAGGCCACAACGTGTTATCTGAAAAATCAAAACTTTAAAATCACGTAAATGCAAAAATAATAAAGAAGGAAGGAGGGAATAAAAAACCAGGGTTCCTTCGATAACAAGGGGCCCTCACCTTCAAATGGTTTCTGCAAAGAGTTTAGGGCTTCAATTTTTTGAACCACCGTGAACTCAAAACTTTCTCATCATCTTCGGCAAATAGATTGGGGTTTCATCATTTACAATCTTGTCTAAACTTTCTGTCGGAGAGTAGAGAAGAGAAAGGAAAAAGAAGAAACCAAACAGATGGAAAAGAGAAAGGAAGGAATCGGAGAAAAATGAAAGGGAGAAAGGGGGAAAAGAAAAAGAAAGTATGGAAGAATGTAGAAAAGAATACGAAGAAGAGAGAAAACCAATAGAATAAAAAAATTCAAATAAAAGATAAATAGGAAAATGCCTTTTTTAAAAAATGCAATATTCAAATGTTATAAGAGACAGTTTTGTTGTAGTGTTATTAAGTAGGATGTGGGATTTCATAATAAAGCTAAAAAAAATTGCAGCCAAATTTCAAGTTTGTCTCCTAAACCATTTTGGATATATTGACACCCTTATGTTTCATATTCAACTAAGGTGTGTTTTAACACAATAAAGCTAAAAATGCGTCAATAGCAGGATTCACTCCTTAACCACTCGGACATATTGACACCTCAAACTTTAGTTTGTCCGATTCTCATGTACTACTGATTGTGGCAACAACAGTATCCCATTCCACTTATATAAGTATTATGTAGGATGTGGGATTTCATAATAAAGCTTAAAATTGCAGCCAAATTTCGAGTTTGTCTCCTAAACCATTCGAACATATTGACATCCTTATATAAACAATGATTCGCATTATGTAGGATGTGGGATTTCATAATAAAGTTAAAAATTGCAGCCAAATTTCGAGTTTGTCTCCTAAACCATTCGGACATATTGACACCCTTATATAAAGAATGATGCGTTCCTTGTTCAACCAATGGTGTTTTCACAATAAGATTAAAAATACGTCAATAGCAGGATTTCAACCTATGCAGGCATAGCCCAACAAATTTCGAGTCTATCTCCTTGACCGCTCATACTTATCCTTAACCACTCGGACTTATTGACACCCAAACTTCAGTTTCTCAAATTCTCAGGTACTACCGATTGTGGCAACAACAGTATCCCACTTCCACTTATATAAGTATTATGTAGGATGTGGGATTTAGTAATAAAGCTAAAAAAATTGCCCAAATTTCGAGTTTGTCTCCTTACCCATTTGGACATTTACACCCTTATATAAAGAATGATTCGTTCTTTGGTTCCTTGTTCAACCGATGTGTGTTTTCACAATAAAGCTAAAAATATGTCAAGAGTAGGATTCAAACCTACGTAGGCATAGCCCAACAGATTTCGAGTCTATCTCCTTAACTACTCGGACATATTGACACCCCAAACTTCATTTTCCCAGGTACTACTAATTGTGGCAACAACAGTATCCCACTTCTACTTATATAAGTATTATGTAGGATGTAAGATTTCATAATAAAACTAAAAATTGCATAGCCTAAAGCTAAAAATTGCATCGTTCCTTGTTCAACCCGATGTGTGTTTTCACAATAAAGCTAAAAAATACGTCAATAGCAGGATTTGAATCTACGCAAGCATAGCCCAACAGATTTTGAGTTTGTCTCTTTAACCACTCAGACATATTGACGCCCCTGATAAAATAATTCATCAACAGCAGGATTCAAACTTGTGTAGGCATAAATAAATGGATTTCAAGTCTATCACCTTAACCACTCGGACATATTAACACTCCTTATATAAGGAACATAGCAACAGGATTCAAACTTGTGCATGCATAGCCCAACAGATTTATCATTGGGACATATTGACACCCTTATATAAAGAATAGCCATATTGACACCCTTATATAAAGAATTGTAGGATCCAAACCTACACAGGCAGGCATAGCCCAACAGATTTCGACTCTATCTCCTTAGCCACTTAGAAATATTGACACCCTGTTATATAGAATGATTAGTTTCTTATTTAACCAATGTGGGATTTCACATAAAGTTAAAAATTTGTCAACAGTAGGATTCGAACCGTGCAGGCATGGCCCAACAAATTTTGAAATCTGTCTCGTTAACGACTCGGACATATTGACACCCCTTATGTAAGGAATGATTCATTCCCCTTAACTGTAAGGACCGGGCTGACTCGATGCCTCTAAAAGACGGGTAAAATTTTTAACAAAATAAAACAACCAAAACTTAAAACATATCAAACATTATATCAAAATAAAGATGATACAAAGTATTTTAAGACACAACACAACAATTAAAACACAAGTTAAGGGACGACACAAAAGGGTTGAAGGACGACAGATGAAGTTTGTCTATGGCACCTGCTCTAGAGTCCGCTCCCAACCTCGACCAGCCCCTTATTTCCTAAAAAAATGGAGAATAAGGAATGAGTACAAGACTCAGTAATCAGCCTACTTGTAGGCTCTTAATCATGTCCTTGATATGCTAGGGTACCACACTTTTCCTTTTCATGTTCTTGTTTTTGTTCTTGTTGTAAATTCTTGTTATGTTTCTTAATTCGTTCTCTAAGACACTCCCCTTAGGACTTACGGTACTAGACATAAACTTGTCATCCTGTGTCTGAAGTTTCATGCGTTCCAAGCGACACAGTCTTAATACCTACGCTCAAGGCTTCATATGTTCCAAGCAGCGTAGTCTAAGTCATAAACATGATGTACTGTGGGAGGCCTTAAGAGGTTCTTGATTCATGGCTAGAGTAACTTACTCTCTTCTTGCTCCATGATGGCCATATGATTACTCCCCATGATAGACCATAAAGGTCACGTGATTGATGCATGCATGAACCTAGCATAGACCATAAAGGTCATGTGATCGATGCATGCATGAACATGGCATAGACCATAAAGGTTGCTTAATCTACCATAGACCATATAGGTCGCGTGATCGGTGCATACATGAACATGGCATCCTGCAAAACATAACATGGCGCAGGGCATCTCATCTAGGTGAGGGGAATGAGGCCAAACATGACATCTTGCAAAGGAAACACGGTGCAGGGCATCCCACCTAGAAGAGGAAAAAGGCCTCTTTAGAAAGCACCGTGTGGTGGGAGTTATGGGCCACAATTGGACATGCTTAGAGTATTGCCTAGCATTCTTGAATTTTCATGTCTAGGGACTTTGGTCCCTTATTTTTTAGTGGTACCTAGCATTCTCCTTATCTTGAGAGTTGTATAGCTTGTTCTTGATTCTTAATCTTGTAAGTTTCTAAGGTCCTTAATTCCTTGAGGCATAAGTTGTAACTTGTATTTGTAACCATATGAACCCATCTTAGCGTGTGTTATTTCAGAAGGTGATAGATTCCTAGGGAATTTTTTAGAAGGTTCTAGAAGAGTCTTGAATATTGACATGTTTTCTTTAGGCGTTTCCTTAAGTTCCATCTTGGCTTATGTTACAAACTTGCTCCAACCAACTTGAAATCTTGAGCTTATCCTCGTGTCATATAAAATAGACCTTATAGGACATGGTTGGTGATTTGGAGCATATTTAGACCTTGAGCTAGGATATGACTTCTTGTTTCGTTTTCAGGAACTAACTCTTAGAGGTTGTCATGTCATACATCGTGTTTTGGTCCTGAAAACTCTTTCAAAGTAACCCTTAGTTTTCTCCCCATGAGTGCATAGGTGACATTATCATAATCGTGACATCCTACTGGAAATTCATGATGCAGGGCATCTCATTTAGGTGAGGGAAATAATAAGTTCATCATGGCATCGGTACATATAGCAGAGCATCTCACCAAAAGAGGAATAGGGGTCTCGTGATACACTTCATGATGGGAGATAATGGTTACTCTGGGCATGGATCCTAGCAACTTGTTAAGCATACCATCTGCATTAACCTAGGTGTTTCCTTGTATTCTTGGGGATCCTAGGTTTATGCATAACGTCTTGGGTCAAGCTTGGAACTTAAAGGTTCTTCTTAGGAATAGCCCAATGTAACCTTATGCACTTAAAATCTTTTTAGCAACCAACGGTACCTATGGGGAATCTCTTATTTCATGGGTACCTCGTTAGTCATTCTAGGAGGTAAAGTCATGTGGATCGTGATGTACATTTTCCCCATATCTTGGTTTTGCTATCTAACGTTTCCCAATGACTCCCAAACTTCATTACCTTATACAACATCTTGAGGTAAGGATTCATACAACATTTCACAATGTTGGAAGGTCATTTAGGGCTTAACCCGTAGGTAGTCCTCCTTAGGGGCATTATGTTAATTTTTCCCTAATTCTTGATTTTGCTACTTAACGAGTTCCAATGGCTTTCAAATTATACCACCTCATTAAGAATCATAAAATAAGAACTATAGTAGAGTTTCATAGCATTTTGAGGTCATCTTGGTCATGAACCGTAGGTAGATATCCTTCAGGGCATTATGGTCATTTTGCCCTGTTTCTTGGTTTACCTACTTATCCTTATCCAATGACCACCAAATTTCATACATAACCTTAATATGATATGTTATGCTCAGCATTAAAATTTCATAAGCATAAAAGCTCATTTAGTGGTTTATCTTAACGTTCCTTAAATCCCGAGCAATTTGGTCGGATCAGGGCCTTAACTTACGGTTCATTGAGTTTTTCTTTCATATATCCTTGTGTCGTACTTTTTTTTAGGGTTCATATGAAAATTCAAGAGATTCCTACAAGTATTTCTTAAGAAAAGTCCAAGGTGGTTACTTACCTCATCGTCAACATTCGGGACCTCCGTTCTTGAGCTTCCGGTATTCGAATTACTTCACATTTCCTTTCATAGACTCCTTATTGTGTCTAGTTTCTGCAACCATAAGGTTTGTCATAAGAACCGGTCTGTAAGAGGGTTAAAATTAAGAAACACCGAGGGAAGGTCAGAATTTTGGCTGACTTGGGCGGCTCAATTGAACCGGCCACGTCATTGTCTTCTTCCTCTGAACAGGAAGAAGACGCGCGCGTCCTTTGCGCCGCCGTCTGAAAGTGGCCTTCCACAGCCCCGATATCTTTGTTTCACCCTTTGATTTCTTCATGAAACTTAACGATGGTATTACAAGGAAGAGCTTGGGATTGATTTCATACCTTTTCGTGGATCATAGCCTAAGATATTCTCCTCCAAGGTTCGTCCAAAATCATTTTCCTCGCTGGAGCTAAAAAAGGGGATTTCTTATCGGGTAGCTGATTCTAGGGGTTTTTAAGGCCCGATTTCTTCATGGA